TTAAAGATAATTTATTCTTTTTTTGTCACTTGTTCCTTTTGTTTAATTAGGGGTCAGACTCTGTTATGATTTATAGCTGTCATCAAGCTTAAAACAGGAAGAGTCAAAAAATATTTTCCTACAAAGAAATACAGATTATTACTTTTTGCTTACAAGTAAACCATATTGAATGTAAACAGGGTAATATGGAAGGGACACAATGGGATTGCATGGTTTTGAAACATTTGAATATTGGTGGAAGTCACCTGGAGCTATCTGGTTGTTGTTGTTAATAAGCTCCACCCACTTTTCCTGCATGCTTATTAGGGAGGTCTCCCATTCACTTGGCTGCTGGGAATGGATATGGTCTTAAATCTTTACTAACAATTCAGGGCATCCTTTTCCACCATACTCTTTACATGAGCTGCCAGGAAAGGAAACAAAAACAAGGTGATGAGAAACAAATTAGTAGATCCTGTTTTATTAGACGAGCTGTGAACAAACGCACTACCTCCCTCAGATCATGGAAACGGATGCAGATGACCCGGATCACATTTTGAGCTCTAATCTGGCCTGTTCTCGACCCGCTGCTTTAAACACAATAGCCGTCTGATTACAGGGACACACCTACACTTCTGCCTGGGAGTCTCATCATAATTATCCAGGTTTCAAATATAGTTTCAGTCATTATTTTCTATTCGGATGGTGTGCGGTTTCAGCGGTCTGGAACATTTGTCAAATTATTTTTGATTATATCCAGCAAATCATTTAGTTGTTTGTTCTTTAAACCAATTTGTATTCTTGATTGTTTTTCTTTTTCTTTCTCTAGGACTTGATTCCTAAATGTCTTATTAAATCTTTGAAGAAATTTTATGTAATTGATTGGAAATATTGGTTGAGGCTTGTTTTAGGAACCTGCATAGCTTTATAGCTGTATAATTATGTAATGTGGTTTAAATATAAGTAAGAATTATCTGTGGCTCGTTAGCTAGGACAGGGTGACTGGAATCTCTGTAAAGGTAGAAACTCAGGTTAGTGACCACAAAACTGACGGGGAATGAAAGGAAGCATGTGAGTCACTAACCTGTATTTCATGGTCAGTTAGAGCCCAGAGAAAGGAGTGGAAACCAGCTGGATGATATCTCCACAGCATGCGGCGGGAGCCGCCCAGAGAGTTCCACGAGTGAAGCAGAGCAGACTGATGAGCAGAAGCCTGTAGACTAGGAAGAGCGGAAGTATCTGGAGGAAAAATCTAAAGTCGGCGTCGATGCCAAAGCAGAAGTCCAGGCCAGAAGATCAGAGATCTGAAGAGATAATGAAGGGAAATCCAAGCCAGGGTCAGAAGACAGTTCCAAGTTCGTTAGCAGGCATAATCCAAAAAGCAGTTTGAAGACGGGTAAGGCTAAAAAGATCAGAACAGCGGCAGGCAAACTAAGAAGTCCAGGACCAGAAACTAGTCAGGATCGGGTAATCAGAAACACGCTAGAGAACTCATACTTACGACTCCAATAATCCGGCACTGATGGCTGGGAACAAGCAGTTTTAAATAGGGACTAGAACAGGTGGGAATGAAAACTGTGCAGCGCTAGACAGGTTGAAGAATGAACCAATAAGTGTCAAGATCATGACATGAACTGCGAGCTCTTGAGACATCACCTAAGAAGTAAAAGTTGCTGTTTCTGAGCAGTTTAGCTGCTCTTTTCGAGCCACTCCGGCTAACTTTGAGCTGGAACCATTGCGCTCTGCCTCACATCCCCCCTTCCTGATAGGAGAAATTGGCTGTTTGTTGACAGTGCTGGCACAGCGTGGTTAGGGTAGGTGCTTCCCATTGCGATATTGATACAGGGGTCATGAAGGTTACCTAGAGATGCATGACTTAAGTAAAACCCCACTCAGTAAAAACATTAGATTTTTTGCGACATAAGACCTTTTTTTATAAAAGACCGACTCCTCTTCTTACGATAGTCACTACTAGCTTACAGTACTCACTAAAGGGAAGATAATCACAGCAATTTGTATTTTTAAGAACTGCAGGATGCAAGTGAAAAACATTTAGATCTGTCGCAACTTTCCTGCAACGTTCATTTAGTAGACATTTGTGAGCAAAGAATTACGCTTCACAGTTAACACAAACACACCAAACTTTGGGGTCTTCAGTGGTACTGTCAATTAAATAAAAGTTTTTTCACTTGACATTAGATTTTAAAGGTATGCCGAAATTTTCCGATATTTGTTTTTTCGCTGATATCGGACCGATTTTTGGTATCAAAGTCAGAACGAGAAATTCTAGTGCGTGTCCAATTTCTGTAAAGCTGAAGATGTCAGACACGCCATATTTGAATAAAATATTAACCTTTATTTATATATATCAACATTAACACCCATATCATACGGTCAATGTCAGAGCTTTAAACATAGCTGTATCCGTCAAATTGGTAAAACTGGGCTGATATTAGGGCTAAAACAATCAGATTAATCGCGATTAATTGATTATTTAAATAATCGTCAACTAATGTATTAATCAATTAATCGTTAAATGGTGTATAGAGACTCAAAAATGTGTCTTTGGCTGACAGAGATCCACCTTGAGCAGCAATTATACCAAAATAGTAAAAAGAAATTGTAAACATTTTGATTTAAGATAAACATGTCTGTCAATATGCTCTATTCAGAACTCCTCAAGTGGAAAAGCTTTATTTTCACGTGGTTTGATTTTTGCAAAAAGCCTCCTTTAAGGAATCTTTGCCTTTCCAATTATTAATCGATTAAAAACTTAATCCGCAGATTAATCGATTTGCAAAATAATCATTAGTTGCAGCCCTAGCTCATATTAAACAAAAGATGTTTATTTCCATCTTATTGTGTGGTAATTGTTTGGTCATGTGACAATTATTAATACTCAGTAGTGTTAGAAAATATATGATATTGGTAAATCACAACATTAATATCAGATATAAATATCAGCCCAAGTCATTCATAGTTTTTATACTTGAAAACTGTTTTTCTATTTATGTTAGTGGCAGAATGGGGCTATTATTTTGACACAGATAAACTATTTTAAGCGTTTGCTGTAATACTGGGGAAAAAAACAACTCCATTTTGGTTCCTTAAGTCTGTACAGAGTTCATCAAATGAGCTAGAAGTTATGTTTTTACGTTGGCAGTTAGGATCACTTTGCAACAATAGCACGAGTTTCATATTTCCATTTAACATTACAGCTCCACAGACTTTCATTGCCCATTAAATGTAACCTGGAGATACTAATCTTGCAGAGTGCATTCATATTTCACACTTCCTTTCTGGCTTATCAGACATAATTGGCCCCGTGTTTTTGGTTTTATTCTTTCATCCATGGTCCCGCTGGGTTTATAAAGCAAAACCCAGTCATAGTTGCGATTTACTTTGACAGAGTAATGATGTCTGTGCTCACAAGTCGAGCTTGTACTGACAGCAGACGTTAGCCGTCATGAATTATTCAAATCTTGTGCTTTTATGTCAGTTGCAGGTGTATAATTAAATGCAGGAACAATATTTAAATAATTAAGGAATTACTCATGTCGCCTGATGAGAATCTCCAAATACTTTATATAAGCTGCATCTTTTACTACTGGGCTTCTCAGGAAGTTAACTTTTCTATGCAAGTCCCCCCTCCCAGATCATTACAGGCATCTATTTTCCTAGACTGGCGTCAGCAACCTGTGAAGCAGTTCAAGTGTGCGTTTTTGCGTGTAACAGAGGTCGAGAAGTTGTCATTTGAAAGCAATATGGTTGCACGAGGTGTGATAACACATTCCTCCTTGAGACGCTCACTCTGTGGTGCGTTCGCACTCACCAATTAACAGCGATGAGCTAAAAAAAGGGGGAATGTCAAGCAATGCTGTGAGATGTGAATCTTGGCACAGGCGGGCCATAGCGTCACTTTTTCCACGCTCCTCGTGTCTCACCTGTTGGTGAAAAGGTTCTATAAAATATTACACTTTTAGCAAATGATAAGCATCTCTTGTTAATTATCAGGTTGACTTTGTTTTGCTTCTCTTTGGGGTGCTGGTTGACATTTTAAGGTTTCAGTAGTATAACAAAAATCTTTTGTATTCATGCAGAGTTTCATTAAATTGTGCGAGCTGCAAGGTATGGAGACAACATCCTACTGTTGACCAATGTTTTGCTCCACAGGACTCCAAAGAGTGCAGTTACCATAGTAGTACCTCACAGAATATCAAGTTCATGTTTTAATTAAACATGCAATATGTTTTCGGTTGTGTTCCTTTTCTGTTTACCTAGTTTACTAAGGGTCTCTTTGATCAGGGGTTGCATGATGTGTTCATTAAAAAAATCTCTCAAAACTGCATAGAACACAAGGGTAATGAAATAACACCCTCTATTATTATCCTAGCATGAGTCTGTGGCAGCTAAGAAGAAATGGAAACCCAGGCTTTTCATGTTATGAACCATAATTACATTCTGTGAAGAGTGCAGATAACCCGACTTCCCTTATCTCCTCTTGTTATTTGTCTAATCTTTTATTCTATATTCATAAAGGAGTTTTGGATAATAAGGCACTCAGCTCACTACACCTAAAAAAAACCTTCATTCATACTTTATTCATTAGCTTTTTCGTTGCCTGGCAGAAAGATATCTGGCAAAATACATCTGAAAATATTAGATGAAAACTGTTGGAAAAATATAGATCTTGCTTTTTAGTTTAGCTGCTTGTTTTTTTAAAAGGGCTAGCATGCTAGCAAGCTAACATCAATATGAGTGTTTTAAAATAAAAAAATCCCTTTATTGTCACAGTGGTGAAATTGTTTTGCAGTTGAATTGGTAACCATTTTAAAACAAGACATTTTTACTCTCGTATATATTTTCTTTTTTAATGTTTTGGGAATTATCAGACTAGTTAGGAGCTAAAGGCTAACAGGCTAGCACTATAGTCAATACTCCCGGTTGGAGCCCACTTGCTATGCTTTGGTAAAGCATTAGTTTTAGAAAACATTCAATATTTTGTTTAATGTTTTTTTATGTTTTGATTAAGGAGAAATGTCAAATAAAATACCAAACCCAAAAAAGAGAGATCTGGAGAAAAAGAAAAGCATAAATATTAAGCCCATTCCTGTGTACACCTATACATTATTGTCTTTAGGGCTTATTTGCAGTTTATGTAAAAAAAACAAAAAAAAAAAAAAACTTGAAAAACTGAACTTATATGATTTCACATTTTTAAATTTAAAATAGTTGCTTTGCTTTATTGATCGAGTAGATTTCAGTCTCTTTACAAAAGAGTTCCTTTATCTTAAACGTAGTTCAGTACTTTTGTATCTTAGTATGATAAATATTTCCAAAAAGTCTAATGGTAATTTATAATTGAATTTAAGTTAATTTAAGTTAATTTATATCACCATGTGACAACTTTGTATTAGCTTCTTTTCCAGGTTGTTATGCTTTGGATCCCATTAAGTTCTAGCTGTCTCTTTAATCTCTTTTTTACCACATTGTGACCCTTGAACAAACCAGAATAGCTTTAAGCTACCCCTGCTGGTGCATATTGGAGACATAAAAACAACATTTATGTGGAAAATGTAGAAGTTTTCAATTAATCACAGGTCATGAAAACAGATATCTAATGTCCCTTATTTGTTCAGATTAATGATTGGTGATTAATTGTCCAGAGGTGTTTGGAGCTTTTAAGGATTTGTGTAAAAGGAACAAAATACACATTTCCATCAAGTCTTGAAATAAAACAGATGGCACTCAGTAATTTGAATTACGGTAATATATGACTTCAAAAATCTGATAAACACTGAGCTTGTTCAACTCACTTAAAGGAAAATATAAAAGTTGCAGAAATTGTCGAAAAGTGCTTTACAATCATCTGGAAACATGTTAATGTACTTTTTGAAGGCTCATTAGCTGATGTTGCTAATAGCAATTAGCCTGAATAAGCTCGTAGCAAAAAAAAAAAAATCTGTTTTGTTTTTTTATTTACAACTAGAACAAGATTTAAATGTAATTCACATCATTTAGTTAAATATTTAAAGTGTCTAAATTAGATTTAGCACAAGAAAGGAATAGCATGCTAAGCAAACAACTAACTACCCTGATATTGTTGTTTAAAAAAATAATGAATACTGCTGCTTTAGGTTGAAAAGTATTTTTGAACTATATTGATGATGCTTATCTGGCACATTTTAAAACATTAATAGATGTCTGAAACATCTGTCTCCTCTGGTCTGGCAGGCGGGTTACATCCGAATCGATGGCCGTGTGCCCTCATCGGAACGAATCAAGTTAGTCCACAAATTCCAGAACGAACCGGACACCAGAGTGGCCATCCTCAGCATCCAAGCAGCCGGACAGGTAATAGGATGAAATACTTTATTCCACACCATAACTCAACCTAAAATCTTTCTGTCATTAGAAAAGAAGTAGGTCAATGAGAACATTTCAATTAAGTTTTTTCTGTTTCAATTCAGTTTATTTCTATAGCGCCAATACACAACACATGTCATCTCAAGGCACTTAACAGTTCACCAGATCATACAAGTCAAATTGATTTAAAGTTTTCTATCTAAGGAAAACCAGTTGATTGCATCGACTCATTGACTCGAATGCAATCCCTCATAATAAGCTTGTAGCGACAGTGGAGAGAAAAAACTCCCTTTTAGCAGGAAGAAACCTCCAGCAGGACTAGGTTTAGTGTGAGCGGCCATCTGCTGAGGCCGACTGGGGTTCAAGGAGACAGAAGCAGAGATACAGAAAGCAGCTGTAAAAGGAAACACACAACTAAGCAGACGAGCTCCGAACCAACTCCCATGTCAGAGGATAACGAGAGTACATCCAGCCAGTCACAGTCAGAAAACAGGACTACAGTGTTGATGGCAGTAGCACAGCTGATATTTCTCTCCAGGATGGAGTCACAGCCAAACAGGAACAGAGGAGGAGAAGCTACTATAAGAAAAAGCAGAGAGCATAAAAGCATAATGTTAAAGATTAAACTAACAGATTCTGTAGATTGGGAGAATAGATAGAATGAAGCAAAATGATGAAATGGGGGCCCCTATGTCCTCCAGCAGTTTAAGCCTATAGCAGCATAACTATAGAGATAGCTCAGGATAACCTGAGCCACACTAAGCTTTATAAAATGGAAAGTTTTAAGCCTACCCTTAAAAGTAGACAGGGTGTCTGACTCACGGACTAAACATGAGCTTGATGGGAATATCAAAAAGATATATAAATTTATAAATGACACTTTGAATGCTTAAATGCCATTCAGATTGTAATGATGTATTATTAAGAGAACTGGAGTTCTTAATTTTATCTGAGTGAATTTAGTCTTTTTTTCCTCAGATTATGCTAGTAAGGTGTGTGTTTGTTCTGTCTAGGGTTTGACCTTCACTGCTGCCAGCCATGTGGTGTTCGCCGAGCTCTACTGGAACCCCGGACACATGAAGCAGGCGGAAGACCGCGCTCACCGCATCGGGCAGACATCCTCTGTCAACGTGCACTACCTCATTGCCAAGGGCACCTTTGACACCGTCATGTGGTCCATGCTCAACAGGAAGGTAGCAGCAATGACATTATGGGAACATGCTGGGACTAATTCATGCAAATCTTCTGGAACTTGTGTTTGAGTGTCACGCTTACTCTGAATGAAGCGTGACTGTGGAAAAAAAATAATAAATGACACCTACTGACGGAGTAAATCCGAATGTTGTTTTTAATTCCAGGAAACAGTTACCGGTAGCACCCTGAACGGCAGGAAGGAATACCTGAAGGCTGATGAGGGTGACAAGGACAAGTGGGAGTTCCTCAGCTTTGCCAATGCTTGGACTCCAAGTGAGATGACGCTACCGCTGGAGGGAAACACAGGAAATGTCAGAGATGACATTTTCTTCACCCATGTGAGTTTTCCAAAAAAGTTTCACTGAAACTCTTGTAATTATTTCACACATGGAGCACATGTTAATCACCTGTTACAGTGTCTTGCAAGCACTTTAACTCCTTGTCATTTCTACACATTAGCATTATGTATTTTGCATAACTGAAAGGTGAAAGGAAATGCATAAAAATCAGTGAAAATAAATTCTTAAAGTAAAATACTTTATAAGAAAAACAGTCAGGAAAGGCAGATAATTGTGCTGCCAGATAATTTGGGCTGGTTTGGAGTTAGATCGGCGGTTAGAACACATGTCCACCAATTATTCATCATTACTGGTTCATAGCAAAGCCTCCCTGACCTTTCTCCATCACTGATTAGCTAATGTCATCTGCCAGGGTGTTTACAACAGAGAACCTATGTACAGGCGCCACAAATGATGCTAGTTATAGCAGCAGGTGGATCTGGTGTGATAAACCTAGAGCTGACGACCGATGCATTCTGGTTGGAAGAGGAATCTTTTAAAGATGCTGGAGGAAACCACTGTTTTATGGATTTAGCGCTTGGTGCAATTAAACTCCTCACCTTCCCTATATCAAATGCGCCTGTTGAAAGAGCTTTTTCACAAGGTACTCGGATTAAAGACGAGAGCAGAAATCGCATGGGGCTGCCAATCCTGTCAAGTTTGACGGATATGCAAACTGAACGTACACAGAACGGATGGACATAAGCAACGTTCCGTCGTCCTCAACAGTTATTGGAGGGATTTCATTCAACCATGTACTGATCACAAACCACAATATTATAGTTCAGCAGAGCAAAAGTTCAGCATTCAGATGTTCAATGTTCCAGCCAACAATCTAATAAGCATTAAAGGTGAGAATTCAAAATCAACCATAATAAATGTAATTATTTCAGTTATGTATAAATAAGCTTAGCATATTTGTGTGTGCGAACTTATTGTAGTTCAATTCAATTTCAGTTTATTTCTATTGCGCCAATTGACTACACATGTCATTCAAATTGATTCAAAGTTTTCTATCTAAGGAAAACCAGTTGATTGCATCGACTCATTGACTCGAATGCAATGCCCTCACACTAAGCATGCTTGTAGTGACAGTGGAGAGGAAAAACTCCATTGTAACAGGAAGAAACCTCCAGCATAACCAGACTCAGTGTGACCGGCCATCTGCCAAGGCCAGCTTGGGTTCAAGGGGACAGAAGCAAAGATGCAAAAAGCTCCAAACCAACTATTATGTCAGAGGATAAAGAGAGCACATCCAGTTAGTCACAGTCAGAGAAACAGGACTACACTGGAAAAACAGGCTGATCTCGAAAATCTATAAACAAGGGTGTTGATGGCAGCAGTACAGCTGATATTTCTCCCCAGGATGGAGTCACAGCCAAACAGAACCAGACAAGGCAAAGCTATTATGAGAAAAAGCACAGAGAGCTTAAAATTAGAGATTAAACTAACAGATTTTGCAGAGTGGAAGAATAGAGCTAGAATGAAGCAGAATGATGAAATAGGGGTCCCTATGTCCTCCAGCAGTCTAAGCCTATAGCAGCATAACTATAGAGATAGCTCAGGATAACCTGAGCCACTCTATAAGCTTTATCATAAAGGAAAGTTTTAAGCCTACCTTTAAAAGTAGACAGGGTGTCTGCCTCACGGACTAAAACTGGTAGTTGGTTCCACAGGAGAGGAGCCTGATAACTAAAAGATCTGCCTCCCATTCTACTTTTAGAAATTCTAGGAACCACTAGTAAACCTGCAGATTGAGAGCGAAGTGCTCTGTTAGGAACATAAGGAACAATCAGATCTCTGATATAAGATGGAGCTTGGCCATTTAAGGCTTTAGTTTGTCTTCTAAATATAAAAAGAGGAGTAGTCTGCATGGTTATGAATACATCTGCAAACATGTTAGTACCGATATGTGATGTGTCACATGACACTCACTGGATCTGATATAACTGTGGCGGCTGTGTGGGAGTGTTTTATGCAGAAAAACTCTGAGCGGATTTTGATGGATTGTTGCGTTTTGACATGTATTGTTCAATTATACTAAAGTGTGTTTATGTTCACACAGTAAATATAACAATATATTAATTGGGCGGGTACAAGGAAACTGGAAAACCTCGAACCCTATCTGGCAACACTGCAGGAAAGTCTTGTTTGCTTTGCTGTCATCCCTCCAGCATGATGATGCCACCGCCATGCTGTGCAGTGTGCAGGCTGTGATCATTGGGACGTGCAGCGTTAGATTTCTACCACACATAGCATTATGCTTGTGGGCTGGCATTTCCCTTGGCCCTGCTGCTTCGTGTTGACATATAATCCATTCGCTCTTGTGGTTGAAAGATGAGTAGATGATAAAAGGTTTAAGGCTTTTAAATACTTCTGCTCATTCATTTGGTAGAAAGTGAGAAGATGTGGTTTCTGTTTATTATTTATTTTTTTTCGGCGGCTTAATAGCTGCGGGGTGATTGTATCAAAGCACTTAACTAATCAGCTGATCTTTGAGCGACTGCTGACATGAGCCATTTATATTTGCTACCAACGCCAAACACATTGAAGAGGGAGAGTTTCTGGTAAGCCACAGACAGAACGGTGCTAGTCAGAGGCTTTATACAACAAAATTAGCTCAATTGGCATAAAACAGAAAAAAGAAAGTCTGCATGATGAATTACATTACCTGTAAAAAATAATGATTCTTTTCTAAAGGGTTTCAAGAACAATGGCAGCTGATAAAAGTGTTTGCCTGGTTAATAATTGGTTGTTCTGAATTAAAAAGGCTTTAAGAGCATTTGAATGTTGCACGCGGACGGGTGCACAATCTCAAATTAATTTTGTGCCTGTTCTTTTTAATTCAAGCAATACATCTGTGTGCGTTTGTGTTCGCTGACTGAAGAGGTGCTTGTGGCGTGTGATAAAAAGCAGGCCTTTATGGGGAAAAAACCCCTGTTTGGAGCTCGGTAAACATAGGAAAGAAGGGGATCCGACTGCAAGCGTTCTCATTTAAACCTTTTGGGTACTTGCGAAATTGGAAGACAAATAACACTAGAGCATGTTGGTGGTAGTATTATGCTAAGGGTCATTTGTATGACCCTAAAATGCAGCTGTGGCATCGTTTAGAGCCTGGCATCTGTCAGAATGGGATGGAAAAAAGGATTTTCACAGTCGCCCTGCATCCTCACCCCAAAAGATTTAGAGCTGGTTTGAATCTCACTCTTTTTGTATTTTATTTACCCAGCTATATAAAATATAAAAACACAAAATAACATTTGTGTTTTTTGATTTCTATGTACCTGGATTACATCCACATCTGTGAAGTGACTGTTATTCTAACCTGAGCTTACATTGTTTTTTATCAGTTTGAGAAAGAGAAGCAACACGACATCCGCTCGTTCTTCTCGCCAAGTGCCAGCAAGGAGAAGAAGAGGAAGAGAACAGGCGACGAGGAGCCGATGGAGCCAGCTGAACCGGCTGGTAACGGGGCCGACTCTGAAAGCCCGCCCTCTGAAAAAGTCGACCAGGATTTTTCACCTCAGCTGAAGAAGCTTCGGACGCCCAAGTCCAGCCCGTGCCCCGGGCCTCGATTCGCTGGGAAACGTAGGTCCACCCTTGGACTGAGCAGCCCAGGAAGTCTGAGCCCATTCATCCCCACTAAGCTTCCACAACTAGATCCTCCGTCGACCTGGAGCTGCGGGGCCTGCACCTACTCCAACAGCGGCCTGCTGCCTTACTGCGAGATGTGCGAGTTCCCACGCTCATCTTCTGCGGTCAAACCAGGTAAGGCGGAGAGGCGAGACACAACACAGCATGTGCTCTACCCCTCCCAGCTGTTTATGTCTTCTTTTAAATTCGCAAACAATCCGACTGGTTTGATTTGAAAAAGGACAACACTGCCCCCATCTCCTGCTGAAACTGAAGCTCCTGGAGCTTAAAAAAAACCCAACATTCTGTGCTTTATTTTCCTCCCTGTCAATATCAATCTGAGCAGTCTGTTGACATAATACTTTTGAACAGCATTACAGATTTCACCAGATGGAGACGCGATATAGAGAAAGATGGAGGCCGCCTTGCCAGCGTCTGAAATAGCTCTGCTCGGAGAGTATTGTCTATCTCTCTCTCTTCCTGCAGATGACAGGGGCACAGTATAAATCTCACCTGTCAAGCCAGGAGAGAGAGAAAGCAGGCGGCAGCTTCTGCTGCAAGCGCCTCACACAAAGTTGGGGAAAAGTTGAGCTGGCTCTCAGTAATGTCTCTGACAGCCTATGATTGTATCTTGCAGAAGAGCAGGGGAGGGAATTAGGAGCTGGCAGGCTACAGGTCCAAACTGCTTTCAATGTCTGAGGTGCTTCACGAATCGCCTGAGAGGCGACTAACATGAAAAAGATTCAAAACTAGAATGACGTACGTAAAGTCATCACACTTTAGGTAAGGTGGAAAAAAAATCCAACTTTTACCCAGAGTTCAAAGACTCTGAAATGCAATAAAGGATTTTAAAGTGAAATGTATGACACCTAGTGCTCACTATTTCTTCAAGAATGTAGTTTGTTTTAATTAGTTGCTTTCAACAATGTGTCACATTGGCAGTATTTTCCGCCAAATTTACAAAATGCAACAAATTGAAGAAATACTTCAACCCTCATAAAGTCTTTACATTTAAAATAATACCCTTTAGATTGAGTTTTTCTCATGTTAAAGGTAAAAGGGAGGATTTTCCTTTTCTGGGTGGATCATCAAAATAAGTGGTCCTCCTAAGTGTCAATCATTATGGTGATTTGTTTACGTAAGGCCATCCTAAATTCTCGTCCCTTTAGCTATCTTTTTCTGAGCATGAGCACTTTCAGTGGTATATCTTTGTTGAGCTACGGTTTCAGAGTAATTGAATCGGGCCTTTCTCACCACATTTCTTTAAAAATGGCCGACGGTTTTGAGAGAAAAAGTGTCTGCGAAGTGTATGAGAAGAAAAGAAAGGCTTCAGAAGAGAGAAACTAGACCAGAGTGTTTTTGGTCGGCCTTGGTTGCAAAGTTTTTACTCGACAGGTAAAGTTTTGCATGCTAATTGAGTGGAAAAATGTCCAATCTTCTTTTGGAAAGCAAGCATGCATGAGCGATGCAAACAGCAACTTTTAAACAGAGTGTGCACGGGGAGAAATGGGCTCGTGCACGCTCTTGGGAGCGGGTACAGGGTTATGTATGTGCTTTTTTTTTTGCAAAAATCCTTCAATATACTTTTAATGTTTTTTTGTAAATTTCTTCCTTTCAAGATTTGTTTATTATTTATAAAGGAAATTAATTTAAAAGAAACGTAAAATCATGTTCATTAAAACTCCAAATGTCATTGGGCCTTAATGACAAGCCTACATCTGCAGAAAAAGCGGTCCAACTTGGAGTTTCTACAATGTTGTCAGGAGGAATGGGCCAAATTTTAAGAAAACAACTGTGAGAGTATTCTAGAAACATACCATAAATATTTAGGAGATATATTTTTCATCCGATATTAAATAAAGAAGTATTTATAAAGTTAATCTCTTTATTCTGGCATTTAGAAAGTATTTCTAACTGACCTAAAAAAGGCTTCATGTACCCTCAAACAGTGAGAAAATATGTAGTTATAAACTCTACATAAATATTTGGTTTCAACTGGAGTTACAGAAGAACGGAGATGATTATATTCTGAGTAAAACTGATGCTCCAGTTTCCTTGTATCTGACATTCCTTAATTACCACCAAAGTATCTTAAATGCTTGGCAGGTCCTATATCAAGTTTCCAGCAACTATTGAATGTGCTGAAGGTCTGTTTACAGCTTTGTCCAGTGGAAGCCGACACACTTGAGATGAGCAGTTTTTTGTTTTTCTTTATTTCTTTAGCTCACACCCACACAAAGACACAATACACCCCCCCTCCCATTTTTGTCCTCAGCTGCAGCAGATGCTTGATAACTATTCAGCATTCACACTCCTCTTTGTCACAAGCACCACTCTGCATTCACGGCAGCGGGGCTGTGTCAGCTTGCTAGACAGGGAATTTAACAACCTGCTAAATTTGTAAATGACAGACTGTGCGGGAAAATAACAACTGTATTTATGGAGATATCTCTCAGCTTGCCACTGAAATCCTCGGTTCTCCAAGATGTAAGAAAAATAATCACGTGGAAGACTGTGATGTGACATGAGAAATGTTATCCCTTCAAGAGCGGCATTTATTTTTTTTTTTTAAGTGTGACTACACAGTGAACAGGGAGAGTTTGAATCATAGAATACAGTCATGTTATACAAGGATATCAGGCAATAAGATTAAAAATAAGGAACTCTGGTTTTCTATGATGGGTTTTTGCAGCGCTGTTCAGTGGAGCAGTGGGTAGCACTGCTGCCTTGCAGCAAGAAGGTTCAAAACTAATATGATGTAATAACGTAAAATCAAGGCCACAAGGTGTAAAAGAAAAACGGTGTTCCCCTTTAAGCCACATGGTAAAAAATGCATTAGAAAATATCACCTACTGCACCTTTAAGCCTGTTTGTGGTTGCCACGACCTGGATAACTGAAAATTGACAGGCGTATATACCTGGTTATATAACTACCAATGATGAAGTGAGACTTTTATTTAAAAATGGTTGGTGGCTGTTGCTCTTAGTGATATCCTAAGACCCACCAGTCATATAGAACCCATTTCTGAACTTAAATCACACTCTACACCAATAATCGTGTAAATTCCTATAATTGTTAGGAAAAGTATATTCCTGCGTTGCCATGGTTGCTCTGAACTAAGGCCACGCCCACAAAAAAAAAAAAGGGAAAGGANACATTACTTGAATGGTGTTCACAGCAATAAATAAATAAACAAATGTTGTGGGAGTCAACAGCCTTCTTCAGTTTGACCTTTTTAACACATTCCTCAGTTATCACAATGACATTTGGACGGTCAAATGTTTTTCTGCATGTTTCATATGTATAAAAATAGCAAAAATCCAGGACAATAGCAAATAAAGCATGTAATGCAAGAAACAATCTTCCATGACCGAGCAGCAGATTAAAAGTACTCATGTTCTTTACTTAAGTAAAAGTTGTTTATATACAGTACATGTGTAAAAAAGGAGATATAAAAGTACTGACTGAACTCTGTTACGTAAACAAAAGTTAAAAAGTACAGGTTCTACGTTGAGCTTAAATAATTTGATTCAACATCTGCCATGTCGATATTAATTCAATTCAGTTTATTTATATATCGCCAATTCACAACCCGTCATCTAAAGGCACTTTACAGTTCAACCAGATCATACAGTGAAATTGATTCAAAGTTTTCTATCTAAGTAAAACCAGCTGATTGCATCGACTCATTGACTCAAGGGCAATCCCTCACACTAAGCACGCTTGTAGCGACAGTGGAGAGGAAAAACTCCCTTTTAAGAAGAAGAAACCTCCAGCAGAACCAGGCTCAGTGTGAGCGGCCATCTGAGACCGACTGAGGTTCAAGGAGACAGAAGCAGAGATAGAAAAAGCAGCTGTAAAAGGCGGCCCCATCCAGGAAACACACAGCCAGGCAGACGAGCTCTGAGCCAGCTCCCATATCAGGATGAAGAGAGCACATCCAGCCAGTCACAGTCAGAGAAACAGGACTACACTGAAAAACAGGCTGATCTCCAACATCTATAAACAAAGGTGTTGATGGCAGCAGCACAGCTGATGTTTCTCTCCTGGAGGGAGTCACAGTCAAACAGGAAAAAAAGGAGGCGAAGCTACTATGAGAAAAAGCAGAGAGAGCAGAACATTATAGATTGAATTAACAGATTCTGCAGAGTGGGAGAATAGAGATAGAATAAAGCAGGATGATGGAAAAGGGGTCCCTATGTCCTCCAGAAGTCTAAGCCTACAGCAGCATATCTATAGAGATAGCTCAGGATAACCTGGGCCCCTCAAACTATAAGCTTTATCACACTGATATCACACTATCAGTGTTTTGTTCTTATAAGCAAATAAACAGTTTCTCCTCATGCTCCATTTTTTTTCTCTCTTT